CTATGAAAAAATATTTTAGGAAATATTGCGTTTCAATTTCTATGAAAAAATATTTTAATAATTATTGCGTTTCACGATTTGCAAAATATTTTAATAATTATTGCGTTTCACGATTTGCAAAATAATTTAAGGAATTTTGCATTTAAAATGAAAGTGTACCATAGTGACCCCTATACTACTCATAGGTACTATCAATTACTATGTAGGTTAATAAAATTAAATAAATATGTACCTACCTACAATTAAGTAATAATTGTTTTTTAGGTACCTACCAAATGCTAACTATTGTTTAAGATAATTCATCAAATCTGACATTTAATTAAATCTTAATAGTTAATAGATAATTTATATATTTCAAAAACTTTGCAATACATGAAAGAAAAAATAAATATAATATTAATAAATTATAACTTGAAATAGAAATTTGAGGAAAAAAATTTAGATATGTATTTAGGTAGTTATTAATTGTTAAATAATAATTATTAACCAAATGACAAATATACAAAAAATATGTTTACCACTTGACATTCTCACTATAATACAAATTGTATGGTAGTACATATAATATTATAATATACATTAGAAAGTACATCTTAATAAACTACTTAAAAAAAAAATCCCACCAACTTAACATTAATCATATACTCTCATAATTAGAATGAAAGGAACTGCACAAATTGGACAGTTATTTTGAATCCCAGCCGTACATTCTTCACTTCCACATAGAATTTTATGTCCGCAAGGCACTATAACATGTGTACTTGCTTGGTTACAAATTATACAAGTTTGGTGGTTTGGTTGAAGTGATTGCAATGGTTGCAATGGTGCATATGGCAAATGCTGTCTCTCTTCCTCCCTTTCTGCAGCTATTATTTCCCCATTTTCTATTTCAACTGGGTCCATATCTTCTGGAATCACATAGTCATCTTCGTTGTCTATAATAAAAATTTAATGAAAGTTTTACATTTTAAAATAGTATATTAAAACTATACCTTGCAAAACAAGTGGTTCTTGTTGTTGCTGGCCTGATACATGACTCGACCTATCTGAATCTATGAAAATTATATTTTAATAAAATTATGTTATGCTATATTATATATTTACTAAACTTCATTATAAAGTGATAAAAATATAATTATTTCATATAATATCATCTAATAATAATATTCAACTTTATAATAAATTTCAGTTTTATAAATAATGTAAGACTGTTTAATTTTGTAATGTACCATTGCTATAATTTGAAATGTTATGAAAATCAACTACAAAAATCTCATCTTCGGTTGCATCATTGTGCACTATGTTATTAGGGATAATATTATGTTCGTTTATCACATTATTATCCGTGGTTGTTGAATTATTCAATTGATGAATGGCTGTAGCATCGTGGTCATCGTAGTCAATTTCCGATGTAACTTCTATGCATATTTTATAATATATTATTATTTACCATACCAATAAGTAATAAACAATATTAGTGTACTTTAATATTCTCAAATTTGTTGAATTAAATATACCTCCTAACACATTTATCTGCCAATTAAGCTCTTCCCTTAAGGATCTTTCTGTTGTGTGACAGCACTGTAAAAGGAACTCATTCACTCTTAAAATACCTAGGTCTAATTGAGATGAAGCAATACTGATACGTTGTGAATTTGCTATATATTTAACTTTTATTGGCCGAGTTACTGAATGCCCTTGTTCCAATTGATCAATTATAATGTGTGATTTTTTACTTAATTCATTTAAATGTGCTATAAACAAAACAGAAATTACTTAATTAATAATAAGTAACATATTTCATAAATGTATGCACACTTAGGTCCGATTTCACCAACACAGTTAATCACAGTGAACGCTTAATCGGCTGACAACAGATATTTAACCAGCAAAATTCGGCCGGTTAAAACTCCGGTTAACTTTAACCGTGATTAACTGTGTTGGTGAAATAAAACAACTAATAGAGGTATACATATATTTTTAATACTAATATAACTCAGGTTTCACTAATTAAATTCTATACATTTCATATAGTAAATTATATTATTTTACAAAAACTTCATAACTAAAAATTGGAATTTAGTCATGCTTACTCAAAAATGTCCAAAGGTTTGGATGCATCACTTGAAATTTTTCTTTTAGTCGTCCATGAAACGATTCAATATTATTATTGGTACGCCTTGCTATTCCATGTACTGAAAACAAATACTCACCTCCATTTTGATTATTTAACCAATACCTGAAACATAACAACATCAATTTAATTTATTTATTAACATACTGTTATACACATAAGTGGCGCACCTTGAAAAATAACTAAAAAATGGTGCCATATCCATGAATATGTTCTTATCCCTGGCATACTGGCGAATTACTGTATACCCTTCATCAATTTTATTATTAGGTAATAATGCCAATGCACAAAACATCTGCACACATAATTGCGCATTTAAATTGGATTTAACAAACCGCGTTAATCCTCTTGTTCTGATATTTTTTACTAGTGCCTGAAATAAAAAGTGAGAATAAACAATACTGTTTAAGATTTACCATACAAACAAATAAAAATAATCTAGTTAAGTAGTTTAAACTTTGGCAATGTATTATTTATTAATTAATTATTCAATTTTTTTTTTCCATTAATCCATTAAATGCCAGTAGTAAATATAGAAAAAAAATTGCAACTATTAATATGTATTAAAACAATTTTTATTTAAATTGTATTGTAAAAATATTGCATGTCACAAATGGTTGATGTTTTATTGTAACTTTGTAACTTAATTCAAATAATAATTATAACACGAGCAATATATAATTATATAGGTATATGCAATTATATGAAAAATTAACCGTTAAGACTTGTATGAATATCTATCACCAATGATGATCCCTCCTTTTTAGTCTAATAATTACCCTTAGTGTTTAGTGTTTAACTACTTTGTAAATTATGTATCTTCTTTTTAGCATTATTATTATTTGTATTACAATGTATATTTTACTATACTTTACTTAAAAAGATGCTCCATCCAGTAACGTTGTCTCTGTTTTACAAATGCAGAACATACCAAGTTGTACATTCCGAATAATCTATTTAACTCAGTTAATATAAGATTAATATAAGAGTGAATTGACCTATTATCAAATTTAGAAGTAAGAAAATTATCTAGTGAACCTCATAGGTTTTTTTTTAAATTTTAAAGCAAGTTATGAACATTTTAAAATTGTAAATTGTTTGTGCATTTTGAAACACTCATAACTTGCTTTAAAATTAAAATATATAACATCTCTATAAGGTTCAGTAGATAATATTTCTTAATTTGATAATAGTTTAATTCATTCCAATGTTAATCATACTGAGTTAAATGCATTATTCAAAACGTACAATTAGCCATGTTTCGCGTTTGTAAGACAAAGACACCGCATAAGGGTGTAGCGTCCTCTTAAATCTAAAGTGTATTACCTAATTGTATTCAAAGGGCACTGCCGGTTATTAATAAATAAATAAATAATGGATACATGTTTAAATTATCATTAAAATACCTGTATATAATGGAAAAAACAAGAATGCTGATCTGCATTTGGATAAACAGATTTAAAAGCATTCAGCAACCCAGATTCAAAATCAGTCATTATATTCGCTGGAATTATAAATGGAAATAATTCTTTGCACTTGCTTAATAATAGAGTATATGCCTCTTCAGTCTTCGATTCCATCAGTGCATAAACAATTGGTATGGACTAATAAAATATTAGAAATGATTAATGCATACCTACCTACTTAAAAATAGTTAGTTTTAATTAACAAAACTCACGTGGTTTTGGTATATTAAATGCATGATAAAAAGTTGACGGCTTGGTGGAGTTGAAGGCACAACTTTAAAAGTTGCGTCAGCATGCAACTCATCACTCCCAAGCATAACAATTTTCCTAATAAGTTCACTGCATGCAAAAATTATTGAACATTTCCCGTGTGTATCTGTAACCTTATCTTGGAAGAAGGGCTGTTGACAACATGTATAACGTTGCACATTGAAATCTAGGAAGTTTGCTAATTCGCTCAATGATGATGGTAAAACTGGCATAGTTGTTCTCCTAGCTTTTCTCATCGAGATTTCAGCCACTGGCCATGGGTATATGGTTGCAGCAGCTGCATTTCTAATAAAATATATTTTAAATATGTAATATCATTTGAAAAGTTTAATCTTAATTAATTTCATTTTACACTTTTAGATCAATATTTTAATTTGTTTATTTGATGTATTTTCTTTATATGAGGGGTGCAAATAAATACAACACATTTGTCCTAATATTATAAATAGGTTCCTAGGCATAATTTTATTATTGTAATATTTTTTATTAGTATGTCTAAAACAAATAAATAAAGCATAAAACATTAAATATGTTTAACAAGAAATTATATCAATACCTATTATGTACATAATAAAATATAATTACAGGCCAGAGCCCATAATGAAATTGCAGGTTCGATTAAAGTAATTCATGTACTTGTCATGAAATTGTCAATATTTTTTTAGAATGAATTAAAAAATTAATTTTACATAATTATAAAATTAAATGCACAATTTTTATTTGTATTTTATGTCATAATTATAACCACCCAGCTCCCTAAAATATATTTATAGTATTATGGCTATGTTAGTCTTGCTAGCTTGAATAAATTGACAAAATTTGCCCATAGTGAAAATAATTTGTATATACATTATACACCACTGACTGTAGGTATATATTGTTAACTAGTTTTTGTCTAATACTGCTAACTAAAGATTTACCACCACCGACTTATGTATGGCAAATAATTATTATATAAAATTACAACTTTTCCAGATAAAAAAGAACAATCTTCTTTGCTCAAATAATCTTTGGGATGATATAAATTATATAAATTATAACTTATAAGTAATATTTAGTTTCATGTTTACCTAATCATTTCTTCATCATATATTGTCCGGAGTCTTGTTGTCTCGTTTTTAGAACGGTCTTTCAGTATTTGCCTAAATGCTTTTTTTAAAATGTGATTGTGGTCATGTTCATCAGGGTCATGCGTATGTTTCTCCAACTCAACAATTGTCCCATTCGCAAACATTTTAGCAGAGCCTTTGCAATATTTAGTTTTGCAGATCAAATATCTGTTTAATATTAAAATATAAAATCATAACAATTGAATACAATATTATGATGATTTAGTTAAGGGGATTCGATCCGGTGATTTAATAAGGGGTGGTGTATAGGCAATTCGATGTATTATAGTCGTTTCCCAGTGTGTTTGTGTGCGAAGTAAATGATCATTAGTGTGCGTAGATACGTTCGGAATCAGTGGTTCGCACCCGCATGCACATGTCACATAATAAAATATTTGTTCCAACGAGAAACTAATTTCAATCAATTGAGACCTAAAAGCCTGACAAAAATACGATAACTTAGAATGATCGGATTTTAGTTCTGTAAACATATTTGAATTCATCGTTCTTTTTTCTAGGTTATTGTGGGAGTCGATTTTTGAATAACTGTTTAACTTTTTAAAGAAAGACACAAACAATTTTCAAAAAATTGAGAAATCGATATATGATTTAACGTGAATTCTAAAAAAAATATCGAAAATTGATTCCCACAATAACCTAGGAAAATTGTCAATGAACTCGAATCTTTTTACAGAATTGAAATCTGATAATTCTAAGTAGGCGTATTTTTGTCAGGCTTTTAGGTTTAAATCATGAAATAAATACGCTGGATCGAATCCCCTTAATATTTTATTTAAACTTACCGAACACTCTTATTTTTATGGATGCCTCCATTATTTTTATATACAAAACCTTTGTGTTCCATATTTAATTAATTTAAAACAAAATAGATAGATATAAAAGTTAGCAAACTGAATAAAATATAAACTAATTAAAACAGTTACAGCAACTAATAACTACTTATTCAGATATAATAGGACTGAATAATATCCTTTATTGAGTAGTTCATTGGTGCTCAGATGAGTGACTTTATGTGGGTTTCAAGATTAACAAATTCCAGAAACTTATAAAGTGCTCTTTGTGTTTTGTATGTTTTGGGAAACCAGGCTTTCAATAAAATGTTTCTTTCTTAATGAGTATTAGCGTAATTCCATTAAATTTCAGCAGGTGCACAACTTTTATTGGTCCAATATTCATAAATACAAATTAAAATGCTCATATTTAAAACTGTTTTCTTGCATAGTTGCATACAATACTATTATGGACTACTGGACTAGGTATCTTTTTATATTTGATAATAATATAACATATAATATAAAATATAAAATTAAAATATCAAAATCTGTAGGTATATTTTAAACCTGGGCTTGAAACCGATATTGGATACTGATTTTGAATAATAGTTGAAACCGTGAAAACCCAAAATCCGATATCAAAACTGAAAACGAAATCAAAAATACCAGTTAGGAAATAGGAAAAAAATAAATAGGTACAGATATCCAAAACCAAAATCTAAATTTAGTCTTTATAATATTATGATAATATATTATGATACAGTGACACACCTTTCAAGTTTCAGCTACCTATATAATGAATTAGCGTTCACGAAATTATTATACAAGTTATAACATTAAGTATTTTATTATTTGTACAGTTACCTATTTTATAAGAAAATTCGAAAAATCAATAAGTATATAATATAATATGTATGATGTATTTCATATTATGAAATAGTACCTATTGTAATTTAATAGGTATAAAGTTCAGCTTCTGCGGATGCAAAAGAACATCTTTGCACCTCCTACATAATATCAGGGGGTGCAAGTGAACCGTCGTGCACCCCCGTAATTACGCCACTGTAATAAATAAATAAATAATGACAACAACATGTAAGACAATATAATATTTTTTCGAAATTTTTTATACTTTTCATCAATTAAAAATATTTACAGACATTTTATAATTTTCGTCTTATTAATATATAATTTATATCCACCCCAGAAACTTTTTTCAAAAAAATTGCTGTAATTAAATTCTCGTAAGGATTTAACTATAAAATATTTTAAGATTATAAAATAAAAAAAGGTAAGCAAGTTGATGTCGCTCTGCTGTACTGTAGGTTAAAAGTGGGTCACTGTATAATGGATGATATTAAATTTTAATTCAACAATATAATATCATTGTATAAGAAAAACGATTCTGAGCGGAGACGATATGTATCAGTCTAGGTATTAGACATAAATAATAAAAAATTGATCTATAATAAATTCCAAATTAATAATTTCACAATATTCATTACTCATTAAGTACTTATAAGTTATAACGCGTTATACATCAACAACAAACCGTGATACTATCATATATATAATAATCATAATAGTATACTTTAGAAGTTTCAAGTACCCACCAGGGGCGTAATTAGGGGGGGGGATAAGGGGATAGATCCCCCCAAAACTTGTTTTTTAATTTTTAAATTTTTGATCAAAGTATTGATAATGACCATTCATGTTTGGTAAAAACGTATATCCCCCCCAACCAAATTCCTAATTACGCCACTGGTACCCACAAATAATATTATACAATCACAACAAAATAACTAAAATAGTTATTCTAGGGTTTTTTAATATGTAATATCGTCCAAATTTGAACTTAAAATAACTATAAAAATAAACAGTGCATATATATTTTTTAGATTTTTTGGTAACAGAATTAACTACCTACTTACGTGGAATCTTGTTGGAAATTTTCAATCCTTCGGTATAAAAGTTGAACATTTTCTACATTTTTTACAACAAAATAATTATTCAATTTTAAATTTGATAAATGTTGTCAAAATTCGATCTTTAAAGAGGATGTTAGCGCACTATTTGTTTTCTCTCTCTGGCCCACACGCAGCATAGATGAAACGCATGAACGCAGAATCATTTTTTCTATGTTTTAAAGTAATCTTAGAGTAAAATCAACCATTACAAAGAAGATAGAGAATAATATTTTTGAGGGAATGTCATATCGATTTTATATTTTTTTGTTATTTGACTTTGTATTCGACTTTCAAAATAAACAAAAAAATGTTGTACATTAAAATGATGTTTGAATTGTTTTGAGACAATATTTAGACAAATCGATATGACATTCCCTCAAAAATATTATTCTCTGTCTTTTTTATAATGGGTGATTTTACTCTAGGATTACTTAACATTAATATTAATATAATATTTTAAAATATAATATTTTTCATAGAAAAAATGTTTCTGTGTAAATGCGTTTCATCTATGTTGCGCGTGGGTCAGAGAGAGAAAACAAATAGTGTGCTGGCATCCTCTTAATGCTTACAAAAAACTTGTGCCTATCTATTTTTAATATTTTTCAACTGCTATTGTAACAATATATCAGAAGCCCTGTATTACATTTTTACACTTTTTTACCTAACAAATAAAGTTTTATTGACATTCATAGAAAAAAAACCTAAAAAGTTGGAAACTGAGTAAATCCGTAAACAGCTCAAAACAAATCAACATCTTTTCATGTATAGAAAAGGCTAATATAAACATTCATTGAAAATTTAATTTGTTTTAGAGTTACACAAAAAGCCAAAATCGATTTTATCAAAAACCGATCTTGCGTAAAAATTCCCATTTTTCCTTGATTTTTATTTTGTTTTTCCGGGCGCTTTTCACTTTCCCACCGGAAATTGAAAATCGAAACATTATTTCGACTACTTATCGTATACACAGACACTCACAAAAAGAACACACATCAATGTATAATCAATACATTCATGGCTCCGCTCAGAATCTAAAATTAATGGACAATATGGTTAACTATTATCACAGTTCAAAGATAAAACCAATAAAAACTTACCACTTACGACTTGATATCATATTTATCCATCTAAAACAGTAAAACGTATATCTTCATATAGTATGAAGTATAGACACAAAATAATTTAAAGTAAATTGAAACTGTTAATATTGTTAATAATTATTATTTATTTAAAATAAACAATTAAAAGGCCTGGGATTTTAATGCCCTTTAGAAACCAAAAAATAAAATTTCATTATGCCCTAAAAATTCTAAATAATGCACTAAAAAATGCACTACGTATTTTTTTTTTATAATTTTGTTATAAATTTGTTACATTTAAATTACCTATAGTATACATTTAAAATGGTTAAAAATTTTACTAGCTTTTATACAGAACTGATCGTTTTGGACTTTTTTAATTTGGAAAAACAATTATTTCCATACATTTTAATTTTATTATTTTTATATAGGTTTAGACAACATTTTATTTACCTGTACAGTGTACATATTATAGTGTCCTAGTTCGGGCTAGTTATAGTTTGTTAAATTTACATAAAAAATCGTGTAAGAGCATGTAAACATTTTAAAATTCATATTTTGGATTTAAATACCTTAAAAATCTGAAAACATCAAGCAAATGTAAATTAAAACTTCTTATTTTGATTCAAAAATGCATGTCACGTGTATGTTATAAAACGAGGGCACGAGCGTCGCGTGGCTAGAAGCCTGGAAAACAATTCAAAGTGCATCGAAATCCTTGCCAAATTATTATAATAAAATATTATGATCTATGCAATTTAACGAACAATAGGGGATGCGGGGGTATAGCCCCGCCAATATTATTGCTATTATAAAGACTTAAATCTCATCTCAGAACCAATCCCTAATTACGCCACTGGACCCAAGTGAAATTTGTTTAACATAATTACTAATTAGTAAATTTGTTCAATTTAACATCATGAATTCGGTCCATATAATAGGTATCGTATATTAAGCAACAATTTATAATTTATTACATTGAATAAGTTTATATAACCTTACTTAGGTACCTATACTGGTAATTACTTTTAAATTATTTATTAGTTATTTCTTATTGCAATAATAATATGCATTGCTATAATATTATAGTAGGTACGTAATCACAATAACGGAAAAGTACTGGTACAGTGGTAGTGTGGTACACTGTTGTTGATTGCCTTTCAAACTTACTAAAAAAATTAGTCGCTAAATTGCCTATACGTATCCCCTTAAAACGTATATGTTTTAAGGGATTTGGTATAGGTAATATCAATACAAAATTTAACAATTTAACAATTTATTATAATACAATAAATTATTTATTAACCTATTTAAAGTAACTTACGAATGAGCTGACATATTAATTGTTTTAACTGCTTCAAGATGGCAAGATATAGTTTAGTGATAAAATATTTAAAATGTTGTATATAAATTTAAAAATTTTTATCATTAGGAGGTACTATAGTTACTAAATATTATATTCTCGTATTTATATTAAATTGTATAGGATAAAGCAGTGTAATAATAACTGGCAAAATACAATCATAATTTATAAGCAGCATTGACATTTCGTGTTTCTGTTCCTAATAATAAAATTGAAATTTAATCTTTTCGATTTGCGGTTTGTAGTTCTGTGTAGTTCAATATTCAGTCGGTTACTTCGAAGTTCAAGGCACCTATACAAATATAACCAGTTAATTATAAACTTTTTATTAAGATATTATGTAAAAATCTAAAATTATGACTTCATATATAATTATTATTTTACACTCACAAAACAACATATAAATCTTAATATTTTACCAATACAGTCGGACTTGATTAACTGGAAGGTAAAGTGAGTAGGGACCAGCCAAAAAGTTCGAGTTATTCTTGGATAATTTATAATAGGAAATTCTAGGGATTTGGAAAAAGTTTGAGGTATCAACGATTTCGAGTCCACCAAGTTTGACTGTATAGTATATAATATATTATAGGTTTGATATCAGTGATGACGAAAAATAAACATATACCTAATAGGTATCTACTTCTAAGTCATTTTAC